TGTCGACAGGGTAATCCACGGCAAGAATAGACAATACAGTGTTGGCAGTAACAATAGGTGGCTCTTTCAGAGGGTCCACCGTACTGACAAATACATCAATAGGTGCTAACTGAGAAGGCTCGCCTTCCCTATCATATCTGGAAAGGTAACAATCTTAATTAACCTCCTAATAAAACCAATGCAATAGAGATCTCTGTAGATTAGAAACCCCCCCTAACAACAACATAAAGGTTTTTTACAAAAGACCAATCCGACTGACCTCAAAGCAAGCCTCTCCAGGTAGGTCTCACGGTTGATGGGAAACCATTTTGGAAACTGATCCAGAAGCCAGGATAATGCAAACCAAACCTCGCAAATAACTGATGTCAGCCACAAGGGATAAGCATCCTTCACTGGATGAGTACACCGGTATTGCAAGAAGAACCCCAAGATAATCAACCGAAGTATGATTACAACACGATAAGGGGTAAGGTGGGTAGAAGAAATAGGCACCACACGACTCAAAGGTTGGCGAGCATCATCAGCCCTGACACAGAGAACCAATGAACAGTCTTGAACGTTGTTAAGAAACAAATGCTTACTTGACAAAATATATTGTAATTTTCTTTTCTAAAACAAGTCATGGAAAATCTCCATGTCTATTCTAAGTAATAACAAAATGAACTATGAAGATGTCAAAACAATAAGCTATATTACTGAGAAGAAACCAAAAACTTATAGTTAATAGTCAAAACAATCAAAAGAAACCTTACCGAGAAAGAGAAGAAGAATTCCAACCATTCAACCAATATATCATATGCATGTATTCTCAACCAAATGCATGTGCCACCAAAAAAAACAAATGAACACAATGGATTCATTTCAAATGTTCTTTGGTAGACATTATCCCCCTTCAAGCAGCAGGTATGACAAACAAAATATAACTTCATTCTCAAGTAATTTCATATATACCTTTCAGTCATCTGTGACATTTTTAGTAAGTAGCCTACCACAAGCTAAAGATACTTATGAGTAAGATGCTCACATTTGCAATTCTTCTCCATTCGACCCTGTGCCTTCGATGTCTCCTTTCCCTTCACTGTATCTGTTGGTCATTTGTGTGATATTTTTCTCCTGTTTCATTTTCCACCCTTCTACCCTTTCCTTCCAGTCAACATTGCCAAGGCCATAAGAATTCAAGTCTTTTGCAGGGTCCACAATTCTCACAGGAACTGCATAGAAATATGGCATGATCAAATGACTGTCAATTGAATAGGAAAAATTGTTGGAGAATTTCAATTCAACAGATTCAAGTTAGAAACGTACCCGGCTGCCTTGGATCAAGATATTGAAGTGAGTGAACATGCTTGTCACTAGGGCCCAAAGGACCTGATGTACTGCGCACGGATTGAGTGTCTGGGGTAGCAATGGGAATTTCACCAGATGCCTAAAAATTTTGGCAAGAAGATTAGAAAAATATTTTAAAACAACATTGGCCATGAATGATTGCAGGTGGAACCATATCATATGATATGCCACAATACACCTGAAAAATAATATGTATCATATCTCTGTATTATTTTTGCACCGTATCATACAATGCATATGATATGTGAAGATTCTATTTTTTTATTTTTGTTTTTGGGATTGAAATGAAATCGTTTCACTCCAAGACTTATTTTTAAATCACTATCCAGTGAAACAACGTCGTTTTAGTAGTTATGATTTAAAAACAAAAAAATAAAATCTGTTGTTAATGTTGTTTAATTGAATTCAAAATTTCTGATTAATATTAAGGTTGTTCAAACAGTTGATGTTAAAAATTTGAATTAGAGGTTTTTGTATTTTGATATTAATGAACTATATTGGGAACTTGAATAATTGATGGAATATTAATGAAATGCTATGTTATTATGATTCTATGATTTTTTTAAAAAGGTATATATATATTTTATTAATAATTATTTAAAATTGCGCGTATCTTATGATACATGATACACGATATGATATGATACACTACTTTTGAAAATGATACGCTTTTCGATACTCGATTTGACAACCATGGGTGGAACTATATTTAATACAAAACTTCAACCTTGAATAGATCAGTAATGTTAATGGCATGAGTTTATCACAGAAGGAAAACGAAAAAGGAATACAATCAAACTCTCTTCAACAAAAATTCAAAAATTCTTGCAAAATTATATTTAACTACTTTTTGCAGATTTTTTGCAGACTTGTTCTCTTTTTTTAGTGAAACTTCGTTGCTTACTGAAAAAAATTCTCTATGAATAACTGTTTTGTAACGTTGATCAATACTTAATGAGCAAACATGATATTTCAGTAAAAAACCTTTTACTTGTTGACTAAAACATGTAAGAGATTTTGACTGCACCAGCCAACATCCAGTATTGTTAGAGTCTGTGTGGCTTATATTTGCTGTGTGTACAATGGCAAGGAGGCAGATGTGGGAGTGGATGGAGTGTAGTGGAGCCCGCGATGGCATCTGCCTTGCGGGATTGATATATTTTATGTATGGGGGGACGCTGATTAGTTGGGGGTGCGGGGCAATGCCCCCGCGGTACGGTACAGGGGTATTTTATAAATACGTCCGTATTAGGGTTATATAAATACTTAAGATGTAACCCGACTTTAAATAATGAAAAAGAACGGCCGCTAGCTCTTGTGGATGTAGACACATTACCGAACCACGTAAATCTCTGTGTTATTTTCTCTTGCTTTCTTAATTGTTTGATTCCTTATTATTCACCATAATTGCTGCACGATCACAACAAGTATACAACTACAAAAACCTGTATCGGGAATAACCCAATGGACAATAAATCAAGCATTGTTTAGATTAAATAATATTTATTACCTTCCCTGGTCCTACTGCAGCTCAAAATTGAGAATCAATTTTTCAAGCAATGTGCAAGATTGTAGAACATTTGGCCGGACTAAAACAAGTGTAAGAAAGAAAGGAAGCACGATTGAGAAAAGCTAAGAAGTATTATTATCTGAATGGTAAACAATAGAAAACACCGAAAGACTGAGAAGGCATACAGAACTATTCAAACTCCAAGTTGGATGTCCAGAAAACACAACAGACAGATAGTAGTGACAGTATAAAAGCATCACATTTCGTCACTTACAGGCTGCCCATTCATAAGAAGGGGAATCGGTGGGTGAGATTCATGTCTAGAGGATGAAGAGAGATCAGCGTCTTCTCCCCGCCACTGGTGTCTTGCCTTGCTGTTTCCTAGGGCATAATTAAACTCATTCTCCAGATCATCCACGTTGTCTTCTTCATCATCACCATCAACCCGAGGACTTCCTGATAGATGCATGCTAAAATTACTTCTTTCTAAGGAGGTAGGATCTAAAATGGATTTTGAAAAGCAAGCTAACCTTTGTGTCTTTTGTATCTAGTCTTGCACTGGGGACAAGACTGATTTCCATCTTTGCGCTCATACTCATAGCAAGGCCGGCAAACCGGGAAGCCACACTCGTTGCACGCAACAAAGACATCACCCGCAGCTGTTAGTCCAACTGTCTCTCCACAAATCTGGCATATCTGGCCATTCAGATGCTTCAGGGGCTTGGGCTGAAAAATTTATAAGCAATGCACCAAGTAAGTACGAGAGAGATCCCATTCAAACACAAACTGCAACCACTTTCAGCTCAAACTCTCTGTAAGACCATATTTAGTATGGACCACGACTGGCCTATTTAGTTATGTCCACCTTCAATTCATCCAGATGTATAAGAATTCTACGATCTATCTAAAGTGAAGATCTTCATTTTGAACGCACCCCAGAACACTTTAACTTCTGAAGGCTCTACGCAACTACCAAAACAAAACGGATGAAAGCAGTACATGTAACTCTACCCAGCCTAATATCTCACCTACCTTATTAGTGAATAGCAATAGGATGTGAACTACACAAATGCCAAAAGCAAACAGAAAATGGCAAGATATTAGATAGTGCAGAGGAAGATAGAGAGTTTCCAACTAATTCACAGCAATAGGCCAAAGGTATAAGCAGATTTTAGATAGCACAGAGGAAGACAGAGAGTGAGAGAATGATCTCAGTAAGTAGAGTGGGGGGAGGCAACTTTCACTGAATCAAACCTCAAAACCTCCGATTTTAGCACAATAACAATCAAATTTGATGAGAAAACATATTTTTCAAACAAAAAAAGAGAGATGGAAATGCATCCTGTAATTTCTAAATCATTAAAAACCGCAGTGTACACAAGATCAGAACTACAAGAAACTCAAACTCGAAGAACAAATATCAAATCCCCAACTCTAAATACTCCTCTTTTTGTTATTCAGAAAAAGGAAAACCAAAGAAAATGCTAACCAAAACCAATTTTTGGTCTTAGAATCAAAATTAAACAATATCCATCTCCTGGTTCAGTATAAAAAATGGAACTTGAGCTCAAAATTCAGTGCTTAGACCAGAACCCATCTCCTGATTTAATGTAAAGAAACAAACTTGAGCTAAAAACTCAGTTCAACACAACAAAATACTCAGATCGAAGAGCCAAAATAATCAGAAATCTCAAACAATTATAACACTGAAAATCCAAATGGGAATTTCCAAAACCCATACCGCACTATCCGAATCGTGCCGAATTCGAACCAACTCGTTCCTGTTGTGTGACCCAGCTACCATTCCGGCACTTGCCTCCATTTCTCTTCAAGAAGCAATGGATTAAAATGTCAAACGTAAAACGATTTTACAAGTATTCATCAATTTATGATTTGATTGGAGACAAATCTTGGTAAAAAAACAGGGAAAGCAGGAGATGGGTTCTTGCTCAAAAGATGAGTGAGTTTCAGCAAAATGTGAAGATGGGCATTCTCTAAATCTTCGCCAAATTAACTGGCCTTCTCTCTCTCTATCTCTGCTTCTCCTTCCAACCCATGAAAGCTTTGTCTTTTTATTGTTTTCTGTGGATTTTGTTTTTTATTTTAAATCAAACTTTGTACTAAATAAAACGTAAGGATTTTTTTATTGGCTAAATCCGTAGTGGCGGCCCAGCGCAGCTCGGTTTCGGCTTATGGGAGGATCTTGCATCTGACCGGCTCTGGCCTGTGAGCCATGAGAGGATATGATACAGAGTAGTGAGGTAAGCTACCGAAAATTATTTATTGAGACGATATCAAAAAAAATTAATTTTTGCTTTTTGCTTTTTATTTAATTTAATTGTGATAGTTGATCGTAAATATAATGATTTTAGGGGTGATAATTGTATCGTATTTGTGTCATGTCATTTCGGGTTTATGTCAAGGATTAATCAATTATAATCCAACTCGTTTAATTAATCGTGTCTAATCGAGTCAATCTATTTATTTTTGTGTCGTATTCTTGTTGACCTATATAACTTGTGAATAAAATATAAAAATTAAAAATTAACTCAAACTTTTTCGAACCTATGTTCATAATTTTTCTATAAATTAAAAATTAACTTAATAAATATTTTATTCTTATAATACTAGTTAAACAAGTTAATCGTGTTAACTTCGTATTGTTTGTGTTTGACAATAATTCGACCTATTTATTATTCGTGTTAATAGATCATATCATTTATGGGTTTGTGTCGAGAAATGCTCGACCCTAACCTACTAATTTAGTATCAATTTCAAATCATATTTTCGTGTCATATCAGAAATTACCATCCCTAATAATGAAGTATGGCAAAATAATTAAATTTTTATATGTATTGCATTTTGAAAAAAGAATAATGACTTAATAAAGTTTTTATTCTGATTTTTAGGGGTCAACTATAGATTTATGTCTTGTCATTGTAATCTATCGAGTGATAATTTTCTCCATCAAACAACTAATTATCTCATTTATGCATAACACATAAAAATTTAGTTTTAAATATTGAAATATATTATCATAATTTTAACATTAATATTTTTTAAGAACAACAAAGAAAAAGCTTTGCGCTAATTTAGAAAGTTGGGAGTCTTTTAATACTCCATCCATTCCTAAATATATGTTGTTTAAGGTTTTTGCACACGGATTAAGGAAATTATTAAATAGCTATAATATGAGTAAAAAATAATTATACAAAATTAAAATACTTTTATTTAATACGTATTGGAAAGAAAAGTAATATAAAAGACACTTAACCTCCATCCAATCTAATGTATTAAAAAGTTAAGAGTAAATTTAGAAAAAAAAATATTAATTATGCTTTAATTTCATAAAATGACAAATATTATAGAACAAAAAAATTATATAAAACGACGTATATTTAAGAACGGATGGAGTTTTTTAAAGTGACTCAAAGAGTGGTGAAGCCGAGCTCAAATCCTAAGAACTCGGCTCAACCACTGAGCTTTCGACACGCACTCCTCTTTACATGCAACCGCTTAACAATACTTTTGACTTTTACCTAACTAGTCTCTGTCTGTACTTCAAGTCACCGCTAGTTCTCCTCCAACTGACCCCAGGGGATGTCGGTGGAGTTCTTTTTATTTTTTTTTTTGATAAACTGTGATTTTAAAATTGAAGGAGAAGGACGGTGGCCATTAATTTTTTTTAAGAATTTTTTTTATTGGAAAAGTTTATAATAAAATTATAATTTTTTATAATTAAATTATATTTAATACTACATCCGTTCTTAAATATCTATAGTTTAAGATTTTTACCTATGAATTAAAAAAGTTATTAAATAACTCTAATATGAGTAAAAAATAATTATACAAGACTAAAATACCCTTATTTAATTCGTATTGAGAAAGAAAGAAATATGAAAGACACTAAACCTCCATCTAATCTAATGCATTGAAAAGTTAAGTATAAATTTGAAAGAAAAAATATTAATTATGTTTTGGTTTCATTAAACGACAGATATTATAAAACAAAAAAAATTATATAAAATGACAGATGTTTAATAACGAAAAAATAACGGAAAGAGCACTATCTTTGTGTTTCTTCCAACTTACAAATACACATCTAAGCAATTTAGACCCTTCTATGTATAAATCCAGTTTTAATTGATTATTCCACATAATTTTAAATTTGGCATTCCATTGAAATTTTTTGAGAAATATTTCATTTACAAGATGAAATATTTCACACTTCACCTCTCATTACTGCCCTACCATTTGGGAACCTAAAAAACCCCCTAAGCATACATACATACATACATACATACATCTCTCTCTCTCTCTCTGCCAACGACCACCACCAATCACACAGGAGCCATCCACAATTCTAGTACGCCTATTTTCTCCCCTCCTGCATACCTGCAGTTGTGTTCTTCAATATCTGCAAAAGTGGTGTATAAATAAACTATGTTATTAATATTGGGTTGAAAAATTATGAGTACTACTATACTAACCAATAAGTTTACTAATGTTGTTTACTAAATTAGTGTAAATCATTAGATTAAAAAGTCCCATAAACTTTTTTCAATGGGACCATGGATTAATTTACATTGATGCAGAAACAAATTTGGGAAATTTGATAATTTTTTTTTGATAAACACATCATTATCCAAACATTATATGAATGTGGAAAACACAGGTTCAATGATTGTGAGTAAAATGATGCAGAAACACTTGGGTGTCGTTGATTGCTGCCTCAAGAAGGGAAGGGAAGTTGGCAATCAAGATGACTTCAAACTTCAACTAGGACAAATACCACCCCCACCAACCATAAAGAAATTGATGCTTTGTCAATTAACCACTATAGTTTACAAATATCAACTTGCTCCCTTAGAAACAATTGTCAATTAGGAGGATGACCACCCCCCCCCCCCCCCCCCCCACACACACACCCCTTCTCTCTCTCTCTCTCCTGGGTCTGTCAACATCACCTTTGGCCTTCCACCCTCCACAACACTCATTTGCCACCATCACCCTCTCTCTCTCTCTCTCTCTCTCATCTCAATCCTTAGCAACATTATCATCCTAATAATGTTATACTGATCAAGATTTCTTATCAAATTTTTTATCCAAAGTAATGTGACACAGTTTTTATTATCAAATAAATAGATCTCATTAATATTCAAAAATTGTGTCAAACCAATTAGAATAACAAATTGATAAGAAATTTTATAAGTATAAAATGTAATGTTTTTTTAATAACTTGCTTCTCTGCCCAGAACATAGATAGATTGAATTACATAAAAAGAACATACAACACAATAATTGGTTGACAATGACCTATAGGACCTCACAATTGTCAAAATCATTGAGCTTTATATGCCCAAATTTCCTTGAGAAAAGGAGCGGTATCGAAACAAAAATATTTCGATATCATACCGAAAAACTGTTAATAGAGGACAAATTTTATAACAGTAATAGATAAAATTACCAAAATAATGGAAAAAATTACATCAATAAAAAATTTACAATAACAGTGGACAAAATTACAATATCAATGAATAATTTACTAATAGTGGGTAAACTTTTACCATCATTTGAAGTATTAAAACTATATTTTGTGGGTTTGTGATCGATCACTAATATTGATTGATCGATCAATGAAAAAATTACAACATTAGTGAAAAAATTAATAATAGTAGTGAGCAAATTTACAATATCAATAGAAAATTTACAATATTAATAAAAAATTTACAACAAAAGTGGATAAACTTTATTCAATTTGGTGATAAAAATACGATTGATACTTCTAACCACATTTGTCATAAAAATAACACTAGTGCATCCCACTGATACCATAAATTTACCTTTAAGTTTGTATTATTATCCACGTTTCTCAAAATATTAACCAAAATGAAAGTAAAATTTGTTTATATACTAATAACTTTAACCACAATCATTCTAAGTGTGAGAAAAATTACTACAGCAATGAACAAAATTACAATATCAATAAAAAATTTATGACATTAGTAAGAAATTTACAACAATAGTTAAATTTTACATAATCATTGTATTTAACCCTGAATTATAATAAATTTTCCCTTTGATATCATAACCTTTCTCCGATTGTGGTAAATTTATTCACCATAGTTCTAACTTAACCTTTTTTTGTTGTAAATTTACCCTTAATCCTCGTAACGTTACCCAAAATTGTTATAATTTTAACCAAAACAATGATAATATTAATCAAAACAATTATAAATTAACCTCTAAACTTGTAAATTTATCAACAGTTGTAATAAACTTACCCTCAAATGTGGTAAATCTGCCTTTAATTGTGGTAAATTGCCCACAATTTTTGCTAAATCTCACTCTAGTAACCTTGTGATCGATCATAGACAATTGTGATCGATCACAAACTTACAATTTTTCAAAAAAATTAAATCAAGGATATTTGTGATCTATCCCAAACATTCTTTTAACATTTTAAGGTATATTCTAAACCTTTGTGATAGATCTTAATCTATTCGGATAGATCACAAAAAAAATACAATACTATGATCTCTCATAAAATATAAGATCGATAACAATTTTTCTTCTTAGAAAAAAAAAATTGTCATAAAGTACAATGATATATCATTTCACTCTATAATTGATCACAATCTCTCAAGAAACCGCTTTTGGAGAAGACTACTGTAACCTTGTGATAGATCTCAAGTTCTTGTGATACATCATAAACATTCAAAAAATTTAATTTTACCAATTAAAAATTTTGTCAATTCAAAATAAATTTTAAAATTTAACAACAAATAAACATTCAATTTCACAAATTCAAAATTCAGTTTCACTAAAACTAATATAATATTCACTGTCAATTTTATTTATTAAAATTTAATTTAATAAAATTAATACCAACCTGACCGTCAATTTTACTAAAAAAACATTAATTTAGTAACAAAATTTTGTCAACAGACTAACATCAAGTTATTTTTTACTTATTAAAATTTTAATATGTAAAAAATAAATTTTTATCAGCTTGAATTGAATTTCAATTAGCACAAATTTTAAGAAGTTAAAAAAATACAAATTCAATCGATTCGAATCTGAATTTTAATCGGCTCAAATTTTAATATGTAGAAAAATATTCTTTGATATTTTAAAATTAAATATAAATTTGATGATTTTTTTTATTAATTTCTTATTAATTTGATGAATTTTATGTTTATTGGATGATATTAAATGTTAATT